ATATATATATTTTTTTTTTAATTAACGGAAATGGCGTAATTTATTCAAACGGTGTTATGCGCTTTGTGAAATAGAAATGTGCAAGACTTATATCAATCAACAAATTCTATACAAAAAAATACTTATTAATGCCGTAGAAGGAAACGTATAAAATATTTAAGGCAACAAGTGAAAAACATGTTAATTCACAACCAGATATAATACCCCCATTCTTATAATATGACGGATCTCCTACAAAAAAGTAAAAAGGATTAATTTAAATATTTATACATTAGCGGTTTTTTTTTTGAGAATAAGAAAAAATATTATTAAATGAAAAGGGTATTTAATTTACCCATTTGGAACGTAAGGGCTGGCGAACTCATTCTACCATCTCCTCCATTTGAATAGGCCAGAACACGCATCCTGTACGTTTTCCCTGGTGATAAATTCGAAATGTATGCTTCTAATTTACCTCCCACAGGAATAATGGTATCGTTTGCTTTTGAAATGTCTTGATCGACTTCCCAAACACGTATCTAAAAAAAATTATTGAAAGTTAAATTTTTATAAAATGGATATGTAATTGAAACAAACTTTGTATCCCTGCAAAGGTTCTTCTTCTAACGATGGTTGCACATACCGCCAAACGACATGAACCGTAGATGGGTTGACACCATAAACGTGGACAGATGAAGGAGGTTTCTGAGGAGCTTTTCTAAATGTTCGTTCTACAAAAATAAATCGAAATGAAGTAGCATTTCATTTGAATCATTCTAAGATTTTATTTACCAATATAACGTTCACTTTCAGGTCCTTCTCCTGCTGAATTATAGGCCATGACCTTAACAAAATAATACGTATCTGGTTGCAAACCGACGATAAGTGCCCAGGGTCTTGTTGTACGAGATAAGTAGTAGACACTATCTTCTTCTTTAAAGCCTTTCTTCCAGTATTTAATCTGAATAAAAGGAAGAAGTATTACGAAAGGGTTTCAAACTAACAAACGATTGCGTACCCTATGTCCAATAAGTTTTCCTCTAACTTTTTCTCTCGTCTGCTCAATAGGTTGCCAAGAAACGTTGAGGGCTGTGGAGTTATATGACAGTGCAACAACAAGTTGAGGAGCCACTTGTGGCATATCTTCTGCTGAATAAATTACAGCCTCATTACTTTCAGGTCCTGCGCCTTTTTCATTAAATGCCTGAAAATTAATAGGCAATTAATTTATTTCACTACTATCTTTTTTGTAATATTACCTGGACTTTAACTATATATTGTGAATAATAGTAGTTTGAATCAATATTTACAACTGCTCTGCCAACGTTTCCTAATTCCTTTAACAACAATGTTTGAAATTCGACTTCATCATCTTTCCTCTTCCAAAATATTTTGTAATGAATACCAGGTCCGTTTTGTTCATCCATTCTGAGAGGTGTCCATGTAATAGTTAAGTCTCCAATTTTTCCTCCGCCACCACCAACATTTTTGGGAGCAATGTAAGGTCTATCAGGTGGGGTAGAATGTCTTGGACTTGGTGCAGAAGGTGGCCCCATTCCCAACTGATTCCACGCGTTAACTCTGAACTCATAAACTGACCAAGGAGTAAGAACATTTTCAATGACTGCTTCTTTTCTTCCCGTATAACGGTCTATTTTCTTAGCGTATACGCCATGAGTTAAATTAACCCACGTAGAATTCCAATTAGTTCTACCACTAACTGTGTAACTTAAAATAGGTCGCCCATGTGAAGCACTATCAGTCCATCGAAGAATAACGGAAGTTTTCTTTATTTCGACCACTTCTAAACCTCCTGCAGAAAAATTACCTCATGGTGAATATTATTTATATTAATTCTCTTTTGTTCATTATTTACCTGGAGGACCTGGAGGTCCTTCAATAACAATATAGGATTTCGAAGATATTTTACCCACTGCTGATTTTACTAAACACTCGTATTCCCCGGCATCCGAAAATGTAGTGTTTATTATATGTAAATTCCCTCCATCCATGTACTTCAAAAATAATTAATGTGAAACTTTTTGTATTAATTTTTTTTTAAGTCTTACCAAATGTCCATTTGAACTCAGTACGTCAATATCGCGAATCCTCATGCCATTATGTTTCCATATGTAGGCTACATCTAACATTTCCTCTGTTTCAGCATAGCAAGAAAGAAAGATTAGGTTGTTTACTGACGTAACGATCCTCGGTCGTAATGGTTCGAGTAATCTAGGGGGATCTATGGAAAGGCATTTTATTTTTATAAATATAAACGTAGATTTTTATTTAGAAACTCATTTTTGTACTTACGAAGTACTATAAGTCGGCCTCTTGACTCATCCATCCCAAGTTCATTACTTGCTGTACAAGTATAAACTCCTTCGTCATCCCTAGAAACGGGACTAATTACTAAATTACCAGTTTCATAAATACGACGATGACCTCCCGCGCCTGTAATACGTAAAAATACGCAATTTAAAGAAATAAACACATAAAATATTGACAAACAAACCTATAACATTGCCATCTTTCTTCCATATGAATTTAGGTCTAGGAGCTGCTTCTGGACTGCAGGTTATAGTAACATTTCCTTGTTCAGCAGCGTAAATTTCGGACTCCAAAGGATGTTTTTTGAAGGACGGCTTAAAAGCTAAAAATCCAGTTAGAAAAAAAAGTAAAATATATACCAAAAATTGAAATTACCAAGCACTCGCAGTTGGGCTGAGGAATACCTAGCTTTCAAAGTGTTAGCAGCTCTACATTGATACATTCCTGGATCTCTATCATCATTAACATCAAGTATTGTTAATACATTGTCCTGTATTTTTATTCTTCCTGTATCTTCAGGATCCATATAACCCATCACTAAAAATAAAATATTTGGCCATCACTGCCACCACTCATGGACTCAGATATTTCATAGATCGATTTTTAAATGTAAAGCTCCAGAAATGGTTGGACTGATAAACAAGCAAATTAAAAAACATTTTTTTATTATTTACCTAACTGACGACCATTTTTCCACCAAGTATAATTCACGTCAGGAATACCAAAAGCTTCACATGTCCATACAAGTTCACCTCTGCTATCAACATGTTTATCAGTAAGTGGAATTGTGAAATTTGGCTCAGCTACAAAAACACAATAAAAAAAACAAAGAATTATTAAAGGACATCAATACACCAAACCTTGTATACTGAGCATGATGTTATTTTCAAGTGAAGATCTATCATTAGTTGCCCTACAAACATATTCTCCTTGATCTTCCACCTGTACATTTGGTATTACTAAGACTCTATTAAAACTAGTTAGAAACGAATTTCTAGGCAAGCTTCCTCCTTTTCGTGTCCAGTTATAACTTGGAATGGGACTAAAAATTGCGGATAATAATAGATCATTAAAAATTCCGTAACATTTATATTAAAGAACATACTAGCCAAAAGCAATGCATTCTAGGCGGACGTCTTTCCCAGCGATTGGAGCCTCTGGAAAAGCCTTCGGGAAATTATTTGGAAACTTCAATTGTTGGTAATTTGCTACAATAACATGTATTTATTAAATAAGAATTTTAATCGACACAACTACGGTTTACAGTGAGGATTAACTCTCAATGGAAAGAAAGGCCCATTCTTTCCGGTGTCCGAAACCTGAGATTGTACACTACAGCTGTAGTTGCCTCTATCAATAGTTTCTAAAGCAGAGAAATAAAGAGCACCATCATATGACACAAATACTCTCTTATCTTCTTCAACAAAATTTGGGAAATAATCACGAGACCAATAATATCTAACTGAAGGAAAATGGTTTGGAGGATCACAATACACAGCTTTCCCCCAGTTTTGGTCTCCCGATTCAGGAGATCTCTTTAATACAAATTCCAGAATAAAACCAAAATTTAACTGAGCACTCTCTGATATTATTGTACCAAATTTGTTAGTTGCCTTACAGTGATATGTAGCACGATCAATTTTCTATAATAAGAGACAGATGGTGATCTAATTGCTATAAGTTTTCATTTTTTCAGTTTTACCTGTTCGGGACTGTGAATAATAAGAGTACCTCCACTAATGGTATACCTATTACTAGTATCTGAAAGGGGATCAATTTTTTGTGCTATAAGCCTATCATTTTCATAACTTTCTCTAAACCACTCATAGGTTGGAGTAGGATACCCTCCAGCTAAACAACTGTGAAAGAATAAACCACATACATTGCAAAAAACCTAAAAATATGTTACAACTTACCTCAAAGAAACATCATTATAAATTCTTCTTTTAGATAAATCAAAAGTTACATCCTCTGGTTGTTTAATAAAGTAGGGTCCTCGAGGAATATATTCTGGATTGTCTATTTCAACTCCATAAGTGTAAGTTCTATCATCAGTAACTAGTTTTTGCAATAACTGAATACTGCCTTCACATATAAACAGCAAACGTTCATCTCCTCTGACTGGATGAAAGCCCCATTTCATCAAGCTCTTAGAAAAGTTGTATGCTAAGTAATCTTTTCCATAAGAATCAATATTTCCATAGGGATCGATATCATTAAGAAATGCATTTTCCATGTTTGATAACTGAGTACCATCAGGATTTTGCCAATAATTAGGAGATTGTTGATGAGCACCAGTATACCATTGGCGATGCTGCGGATCTTGCCAATTTAATTGATGTATAATAAAACCATGTTCATCTAATGTATTTATTGATAATAAGTCTATGCCTCCTTGTTGTTCAGGTATATAAGACTAAAAAAAGTGTAGTATAACATTTTGTATACATTAACTGTTTAAAAATTTTAATTTCTTACTTGACAAATTTGCCTAGCTTCATTATAGGGGCGTAAAGGTGATTTAATGAATCTGTAACAGGATTGCTGGAATTGTATCCAATACTGAGGACATTTTAGCTGCTCATAAAAATCACTGTTTACACTATTGATGCTGTAGATATTGTTTTGTGCACTTATAATAGAACTACCACAAAACTGGTAAATGAAAAATATAAATGGCCACATTTCCTAAAAAATAGTTTAATTTAAAACATAATTTTGATTAGAAGACATCAATTAGACCACTTTGTTTATGTTCTTAAGGGAGTGGTCNATGAAAATATTTTACATTTGTTGCCTTTTAAATTTTATAATAGCATTTTAATAAATATGACGTTTTTAAATATATGATTATCGTTATATTTGTTACGAATTTTAAAAATAATCAGTACGGCAATTGAGTTCGGAGGTGGAAACATGTAAATGACAGCCATATTTACATTCTTTTTGGTTAGGCAGTAGTAAGTGTGTAGTGATTGCATTGGAAAGCATTTGTGAAAATGAGGTAGAATAAAATATAATAATATACCGCTATTATTATAAGCCGCACGATTCATTTCTAGTTTAAATAATTAAATAATTACAATGTTGTATCCTTTCTAATATTTCCAATTTGCTTATTGTTGTGAAACCACATGGTTGTGATACAAATATTGTAATTATAACCGAAGTTGCATGCTATTAATGTTTACTTCACAGGAATATAGCGTTTTAATCTAAAACTAGAAAAAAGAAATGAAGTGCGGTGCCTTAATATTTCTAAATATTATGAAAATGTTTAAGGTTATGTATGTTTAATGTGCAATTAATTTTTACAGTTCTTTGAAACTGCAAAAGAGGCTTGCAGCCTCTGTAATGCGATGTGGGAAGAAAAAAGTATGGTTAGATCCAAATGAAATCAATGAAATTGCAAACACAAACTCCCGTAAGTATCTATGTAATAGCAGTGAAATTTGACCACCTCATTTGTGATATTATTTACAGGCCAAAATATCCGTAAATTAATTAAGGATGGTTTAATTATCAAGAAGCCCGTAGCTGTACATTCAAGAGCTAGAGTTCGTAAGAACACAGAAGCTAGGCGTAAAGGAAGGCATTGTGGTTTTGGCAAAAGAAAAGGTACAGCAAATGCTAGAATGCCTCAAAAAGAATTGTGGATACAGCGTATGCGTGTACTTAGGCGTTTGCTAAAGAAATATAGACAAGCAAAGAAAATAGATAGACATCTCTATCATTCTCTGTACATGAAAGCCAAAGGTAATGTTTTTAAGAACAAAAGGGTTTTAATGGAATACATCCATAAAAAGAAAGCTGAGAAGGCACGTAGCAAGATGTTGAAAGATCAAGCAGAAGCTAGGAGAAATAAAGTAAGGGAAGCTAAAAAACGACGTCTGGAACGTATTGCTACAAAGAAACAAGAAATTACACAGTCTTATCAAAAAGAGGACGAAGCAGTAGCTCAGGCTAAAAAGTAAATGATGTATATTGTACTAGTTCTGTTGCTCTTTTGATAAGAAATAAAATTAAATATCTTAAATTTTATTTTATTTAAATCCCTCTAGTCATTTAAATATTAAAACAAAAATGCTTTTATTTAGGTATATTTAAATATATATACATGAATTTACATAATAGAAAAGTGTTAAAAAATATAAATGGTATGTTTTAGGTCTTGAAAAAAATTTTGGCACTATTAAAATTAAAATATAACAGCTGGAATTCCTACAAACCAAATATGACTGAATTAAAAATAGTCAATGTGTATTTCATTAATCTTTACCTTATCAAAAGTATCTAGTCGTTTCTCAGTTAAAGATAACGTTTGCTGAAGCTTTTCATCATCCTTGTGTTCCTTACATTTTTGTTTTTCTAGTGCTTTCCGTTGTTCTGTAATTTTTGTATTTATTGACTGAAACCAATGGAGTGAATTTAAATTGCTGGTTTGATCCAACAATTCAATTATATAAGCCAAACCCATAGCAAAACCATCATCAGTAAACGCTGCACCCGTTTTATTTTTTTTGCTAAGTCTTTCTTTACATGCAACTATATGCTGAATAAAGTTTATTGTCAAAGGAGGAATGATAACGTAGAAATTTTTTAAATGCATATTCTGAGATTCTCTAAATACGGGTGCAAATACGTTAATTAACAGCTAAAATAGAAATAATGAATTCTGATGTAATTTAATTATTTCAATTATATAATAAACCTGAAAATATTCTGTCGCTTCTTCAAAATTTTCAATGAGGTTTTTTAAATCTCTTTGAAAACCAAGTGAAGCTGCTTTAACTTGCTCTGGTAAGCTTTCATTTAGCATTTCTGGTATTGTTTCTGCTTCTTTTAAATTTGGTATAAAACATGTGGCGTCCGCGAGACATCTCCTGCCTCCAGACCTTATCATTCGAACATAGCCCATGGCATTTCCTAAACCAATAATTATTACAAACAAATTCGATTAACAGCAAAGATAAGTTAACTTTTACCTATTTGAGTAATTAATTTTCTAAATAAATCCAAATAACTGTATCCTTCTTCGTTAACACCTAATCTTCGTATTCCGGTATTAAATTTCTCTGCTCTTTCATAAGGGTACATTTGGCGAAGTTCTTCTTTATGATCAGTAAAATATTTAATATCTTTTAGTAGCCTAGATTTAATTTGTTCGTCAAACATAAACTGTGAAAATATATAAAACTTCTTTTGAAGGAACTGGTAAATAAAGTTCACCTAAAAAAGATAAACTAGTAATACAATAATTCTTTATATGTAATTATTTGTTAACTGTGGTATTCATAATTCCTATTCCATGACTTCGAATTGAATTAGCCACATGCGAAATTCCTATTGTATTTAAATATTTATTGTTGCTCCATTCTTCTATAAAAACTTGGTTGTTTAAGTTATACATATATTTGCTGACAAAAATGTCGATATTTCTCATTATTTCTAACACATCTAGACCCTGTTCTAGAGTTTGCATAGGAAGACCGTCTTCAACAGTCTCTAACGAATATTGTAATTGCGCCAGTCTGAATCACACCAACATTAAAATAATAAATAAAATGTTTAGATAAAAAAAAGCACCTTCTCATCTCCCCATATGTTTTCCAATCATGTAGAACAACCGTCGTTAAATTATAAAAGGTTGTGCTAAGATAATGCTCTATATCTTGCTTGACATTAAAAAATTCATTAAAAAACTTTGTAGGGATATAATTTTTCAAACTTGTTGGAGGGAGATTTTTAAATGGACTTATAGACACGGGATTAAGATGCATGTGAGTTTGTATCCGTAAATTTGTTTCTATTAACTGATTCAACGGGTCAACTAAATACCTTTGAATTAAATTATTTATGGTGCTACAGTTTTTATCTTTAATTAAAGTTCTGTGGTCCTCGAAAGCATCTAAAAGTAACTAGAAACAGTGTGTTACTACAATTACAGTTGCATATAAAAGTGCAGTGTACATACATAAATTCTTGATATGTCTGCTTTTGTAGAAATAACCTTCGATAAGAAAACTGGTAATAAAGTGCTTTGCCAGTGCATAAAAGACCCATCAAAGGAACTTTCTAACAGATCGTTTATGCCAGATATGACTTCTATACAATTAATAACTGACCGCAATTCTGATAACATTCCTGAGGGAATTCCACTGGCTGATAAAGCTAATTTAGCCACTAGTATTCTTTGATGTGTGTTTGGACCTTAAAAAAGACAAATGAATTTTACACGAACATATTTTTCTATTCTGTTTATCACCTTTTAGTGCATTTTCGGCCACATTAAGAGATGAAATTATATCGAGCTGTTGTTCCTTATATGATTTTTCTCTAACAAAACTTTTCTAAAAAAAGTTTTATTTAAACTAAAAAAGTTGAATAAATGAACCATATACCTTTATAATAGTTAATTTTGATCTTGCTATGTGAGTAAGGTGTTGGGCAACAAGGCATGTAGTGTAGGCTAAGGGTAGGCAATTTTTTTGAAATGTAAACTGCATAGCTTTCATAACTTCAATAAGTTTAAATAAAGAAAAAAGTGTTGATTTTGTTATTGGTTTTCCTTCTTCTTCATGCAAATTTAAAATCCATTTAGACAGCTTGCTGTTTTTTACAAGTAATTTTAATCCCAAAACAATTAATGAACATATTTCTTGGAGATCCTTTTCTTTAAAGGAATACATATCCTTCTTTAAGACTTCCCGTATATCAATTATCCACAGGCATGACTAGAAAAAAAAATTAAAAAAAAAAAATGAACAAAATACTATATTTTTATTGTACCTCTACAAAAAGATTAGATGAATCTTTATAAAAATTTTGATCAATTAATGTTATTCTGTTTCCTTTATTATTTGTAAGAATTTTCTCATCAGTATTTCTTCCTAAATTAGGAATATGTTCCACTAAAAACTTATCAGGATATATCATCACAGTACCGTATAGAGTGCAGGCAACATTCTGAAAAATTAGTTTAAAACAACTGGTACTTTTTATTTCTAAAACAGTACCTTTCTATTTACTTCTGCAAGCCTTTTATACAATTTCTTATCTAGAGTACCAAATAATTTGTAATGGAAAACGAACATTATATTTAATTTTATCCAATTTGGAATGTAAAATATGCTTGTATCATCTTTTTCTAATTCTATTAATAATTGATTAATGTATAGAAAAAGTTCATTTGAAATATTGCTGTTTTTAAGAGACACAAGATAATCTTCTTCTACACATTTTTCGATCGCTTGCTAAAAAAATATAATAATTATTATAGTACATGTATTTTTAATTCATTATTAATTACTTGAAATACTGTCCCCCTTAACAACTTCACTTCTATCCTGCCAAGGCTTTCATCTAAACCGCGAAGACTATCTAACGTGACATCAAATTTCTTTGGATTGTGTAAACCTGATTTTACAATTTTACAATAAAACAGCCAGGCACTTTTAATATTAGGTGTATTTAGCATATTATCAAGTGTAACTAAACATACCAGTAAATCTCCTAAACTACTTAGTGGTTCCTAATAAAAAGATATATGCATGTAATAGAGTATTTATATTAAAATTAGAAAACTTACAAAAAAGCAAGTAGATGAGGCCCCTTTATATAAATTCTTTCCTAGTAAAGCACATAACTGACGTAAAATTAGCCCAATAACATTGTTACAACGTAAAACAAAAAAATAAAGTTTTTGTAATACTTCTATTAAGTTGTTGGATGTGTCTATGACTTCTATATGCTTTACGTTATCTAAATTTTTAAAAACGAATAACATTTTATTAGATAAAGCAAAATAAACTTACCATCACGATAATAAGTAAGTGTTACATAAAAATGAGTACGAGCCTGTTTAGAAAGGAATGAAGCTTCTTCACAAAGAGACCCTAAACTGGCTAGTATCCTACTAAGTAGTTTATTGTCTGAATAAACAATATTTACAATATCCAAGTCTTCAAAAGGTTTGGCCTTAAAATTTAAAACAATAATCTTCAAATTATTATTCGTATTGAATTGATTTACCTCTACATATATGATAGGCTTACATAAAAGATTATTGTAGGGTAGACTTTGTATAAAAGTATTTAAACGTGACTGATAATTGTTCAAAAAGATACCATACTGATGTAGTTGTTCTTTTGCTGCCCTTTCTAAAATTTGAAATTGTTATTTTAAATGTAATTGTAATTTTTGATAATGTTACCTTCTGCTTCTTTAGTTATCTTTCGTTCTATCAATTCCCTGGGTTCTAACATTTCTAATGATTTATTTGTTAGTGTAAAATGTAATAAAATAATTTGGTAAGGTTAGGTAAATAACTGCAGGAAGTAAACATATAGGAAGTAAGGTTATCTCATTTTATTTGAAGATGTTTTGAAATTTAAAGCATATTTGAAGTATTGTAATATTAGGTATGCAACCCCCTTTATTCCCTTTTAACATCTAAGGTGTAAAAAATTTTTGAAATTTTGAATAATTAAAATACGAAAAAGAATTTATGAAATAAAATTTTAGTGTCCTAACAATTTCTTTAAAATTACATTAAGTATTTCTGAAAAAAGTTTGTTGAGTACATGGTTTTCAAATAAATATTATACAAGTTGAATAAATATATTTTTTAAGTAAACTGAACAATTGTAGGTAAAGGAAAAAACAAGTACTATAAATTATTGAGATTCTTTATTAAAACATTCTTCTTAGAACTACATTTACATTGGAAAAAAATTAAAGTGGACAGACTCTGAGATTCATAATATACTTATT